TTTTCAACTTTCACGAGGTCGGAATCCTCGCAAGCGGTGAGAACCGCGTGAGCCGCCCCAGTCCATCAACAGGCACGATGACCCTCTGCCCCCATATACTGTGCCGAGGCTTTGTCTGGGCAGGGGGATCAGCCACGTGGAGAGGCCTCGGGCGACCGACGATTCCAGTGACAGTGAACCAAATGACCAAGCAGCGATCACGCCAACATCCAACCCGGTTGATGTAATCACCGACATTGACGAGTTGGACCGACAAGCAACTATCGCATCAATTATGACCCCAACGGTGATCGCGAGAGCTGGTAATTACAATACCCATACGGTCGCACAGCAACTACGAATTATAAATGTTGTACCAACTGTACGTCTACTATTGCAACTGTCTTCGAGGATGGGTTCGCTTGAAAATCCAAGATGTCGAGTTAATAAACTTCTTGCTACAGTTATTACTTCTCCTTCATTTTCTATGCTCTGCACACTTCAAAAGCGGATGCAAGCGAGAAGTTTTATGAAAACTGATAAATTCGTTCCCAGATAACAATATCTACTCAGACCTCCTCTCCAAAAACGACGTAAACCCATACGACGCATAAGCAGTTGACTCCAATGAATGTAATTAATTCCGAAAACACCAGTGTGCCCAACCTGAACATCCGTGGATAACTAAGAGCCAATCAACGGTCGCCTGAGGAAACCTCTCTTTTACCACAAACTTATCTGTTTTTTGCATTCAAACTACTTTAGTACAACTGATTTCAGTACTATGGATGGTGACGGAGCTCGTAGGGGTGTTATCGTAAATAAGCACGAAAGTTGTGTTGTTTCAAAGCATAATTTAATTAAATTTTTCATTTCACCACAAGGCACTGTCTGAAGAGTAAAAATAACGGAAGCACCTCCGAGCATCATATTACCCGACTGGGGTCGATGTGCAAATCAGTCAAAGTTACATAAAAACACATGGTAGCAAATATACGAGAGAGAAAGAAGGAATGGACAGCAGAAACTAAAAGACGGGTATATTCGAATGTTGCGTCCTCCGGTAGGTCGTTGCGTCTGTAAGGTGACGGAGAGAGTGCAAAAAACAGCTGTGATGCCTAACTGATGAGACGACGGGGTCCGCGACCTCCAGGACCTTTAGGCCGTTGGATCAGAACGCTGGACTCTATCTGCACAGGATGGGCAGCCTCCATAAAGGTTTTCGTCGTCAGCTCCTTAAAGTCCTCAATTTCCAGCTGGCAAAAGAGAATTTCCAAATCGTCAGAATGAGAGTAAGAGGAAAGTAAGAAACAAAAATCGAGAAAACAGGGGAAAAATGAACGGCAAAAATATGGCATATAAAAAACATCTTTTTAATCAATTATCAGTAGTTGTTGGTCAGGACCCTCATGATATTTGACGGGATGTGAACGGAACATAGGAATTTGACAGTTCAGCCGTCGCGAACCACGGGTCCTGCAATGTACCAGAAGATACGCGCAGTCATTAATTCTGCGTGAATTTATTCTTTAGCGAAGCCGATTATTTTTACAGCATCCACCGCAAACACTCCCCCAACCTGCATTTTATTTATAGTAAATGACGGGTGTGCAGGTAGATCTAAAGAATTCGTCAATACGCGTCAGACATGAAAGGTCGCCGCAAGTACAGTATGATGAATGCTGAAAGCAAAATGCCGCAGTTAGCGAAAGACTGGTAAGCACTCGCAAAACAACATTATGCAATACTGACTGTCGCTCAGTCTAATCTCAAGTCTTTGCACACACAGCATGGATGCCGGCTCCTTAGTGAGCTTCTTACCGACGGCTTACAAAAAGTAGATTTTGTAAAAAAAATGGCTACTTAAACAGAATGCATTTTTATCATGGATTTTGACTGCCGGTATAAATTCAAATATATTTCATAGAAAACATGCCCGAAAATATTCGTTTTCGCTTGGTATCAAATTACGCCTTCTTTAAACTTTATGCTTAAAGAAAGGATGTCCTTCGGTTTTGAAAAATTTTCTAATTATGAGATTTTTACGACTGTGAGATGTTCATTCATAATACATTGTATCCGTCAACTTATGAATGCTGACTACAATGTATGCACCATGAGCCACATCTATTGCAAAAGGTTATGATAACTATGCGACCTTTCCTCAAACCGTAGGTAAAAAACTGCGTCCTCTTTGGGATAACGCAATCATCAACAGAATAGAACAAACCGCATTGGGTTGGCTACAAGGTGAAAATATTGGCTCTTAGCAGCGCCTGTTTCTTAGGGTAGGAGCAGGATGAGCAGGAAATCCCCGTTTTGGAAGGGATGTCTAGAAGGACGTGAGATGCTGGAGTTGTCTTCGTTGTAAAAAAGTGTCGTAAGACAACCGCCTTCCCACCTGCAGCGAACCAACAACTACCTAATGACAATTAGAATTTACTTCGTTGGAGATAAAGTAGCCACCCGCATCAAGGCTTATTTCCTCAGCGTGAAAAGTAATTACAATACGAAGGGATTCTACAAAAGTTTGCATGACATCCTCGTTTTGGTGTCAAGGACCAACAGACGGATTTTCCTTTGTGAAATAAACGCCCCCAGTAGACATAACCATGTCGACAGTGGTAACAGCAACAGACTTATTCTGCTGCCTAAAACATAATCCGATTCGAAACTACTAGAAAGTAGCCTGAGTCACTGGCAAACGCGGGACCCATGTTGGTCGGGATTCAACAAATATAATATGCGGCGCCAGATGCTGGACAGACTACTGTCTCACAGACTAAGATCCGATTGCAGTAGAAATCCCGGGCAGAGACAAGTCAAGAAAGTCGCAAGGACCTTACATTTTGCAATACTGGATGCGGGTAGAGTGGACTGGACTGGACTTCAGCAATCGCATGAACATGTATCTGGTTGGACGACGCTAAGATAAAAACTGGCCTATACGGCCAAAAATGCTGACGCAAACAAAGCTGCATCCTTTCCATGCAGGAATATTGTGCGACAGAGGCTGAAGAAAATGCCAAACGTGTGTTTGACTTGCAAAGTTGAAGAAATCCCAGGACAAGCAGGTCGCGGTGGAATAAAAAAACTTACTTGCGGTAATCGAAGGAGTTGGCGGGCCTTAAACCAACAAAGCTGTACTGTTGCTCAAAGTCGACGACATAGCCCTGTGTTCAGAGGAGCTGCTTATTCTGGAGCGGTGGGCTGATTATTTTACATTCGTAACCGCCTTTCTACAAGCTGCAAGGAATTCGTCACCAGACTGCCTCGAGTGGCATATTATTCTGGCCATGCAGCAAGCATGCGATGCAGTTTGCTAGTGTGATTAAGACCAATCAAACGTAGCATGTGTTCACGTATACATTTCCCCCATGTAAGGACCGCACCTGGAATGAGTCTGGCTATGTGGGGTGCAGGACCAGTACGTGTAGTACGCGAAGACAAAAGATTTTATAGCATGTCGGCCAATGTACCCACTCTCATCGAACACTAGACGATCGAAAGCTCGGATATGTCGGTTCTGTGTGGGAAAGGGGGGAGAAAATAAGGCCTAGGCTAAGGTACACACTTTTGTACGGCGATTCAGTCCCCATGCCGTGCTCTGGCAAATACGACGCGCCTCTACCTCTCACAGCACAAATAATAGTTGCGACTTGAGGATTGCACCTCGACGATATATCCCGACCTGAGAAGTAGACGCGATCGCTGGAATAAGAAGTTTATTCATCTGACGTTTCGGGTTCATCCTCGAACTCATCATCAGATGAAGATAATTCGTGCACATGGAAT